AAAATTCATCTACTGTTAAAGGCTTTCAAAGAGCGACTGACAAATTCATAACAGAAAGTGGAAAATGTAATCAAATATGTCGGTGCTAGATATGGCAAGAAATGTAAACATTTTTTTTCGATTTCTCTGAAACGGAGCAAAAACGAGCATATGTCTATAGGACTTTTTTTCTTAGTTTTTTACTCCTCTACACGCTCCCGAAGTTTTGCCATTTAATTTGGAAACACCCTGTATATATAAAACAGGGTGGCCCATGTAAAGTGTTACAAGCTATTATCCCTGAAAGTGTGTGTCAAATAACTAATTTGTTCAGACAAAAGTTTTATGACTTTGAGGAGAGCATAAGATGGTACCATTTGTTTGACCTTGGGTAGCGTTGTCAAAATGAGAGCAAGGCCACTTTGAATTTTTTGAATAGAACCCTGCATTTTTATTATATATTTTTGTAGCTTATCTTGAGAGCTTTCCAAAACACTATAATTAAATTCATTTTCATTAAGTACTTTTCGAGTTATGAGGCTTGAAAGTTACAATATTGCCGGCATTTGTATTACACAAGGTGTCCGACCGACGGCTGAAACCTCTTGAACGTTGTTCAGGATCATGTCCTAGATAACATTTGTCAAGATCAAGGCCATTGGAGGTTGTACATCTTATTTTCATTTTTACGTAAAAATGAATTTTTAGTGCAAAAATGAAAATAAGAGAAATACTTTCCAATCCTCCTCTAAAGGTACCTTGTCATGCTCGACGCTCATTTTCGGCGTTAAAATAAGTCACGTGATAGAAATTGACGACATCAAGCGCTAACTTTGATCACATGACCTATTTTGACGCTGAAAATGAGCGTCGAGCGTCAGCATGAAAAGGTACCTTAAAGCTGGTTCTACATTAGCTGCGTTCAGCAGACTCAACAGTTTTGCAACCGTTTTATGATTGTCTGCTGAGATAGGACCATTCTTCTAGATCTAAAAGTATGATCCAATTAGCGCGAAGGAAACTTACAACAGTTGCAAAACAAACGTTCTGCTGAACGCACCCACTGATTGCATCGCAGCGTCGCAAGCGTGTCGGAAGCGTTGCAGTCCAATCAGAGTCGAGCTAGCTTGACGTTTATTGGACCGCAACGCTTGCGACGCTGCGATGCAACTAGTGTAGAACCAGCTTCATACAGGGAGCTTTCCAACGAGCGACACTGACTACGGTTCGTTTGACGCTACAAACGCTTCGAAGCGTTTGCAACGTCAAGTGGACCGCAGCCACTGTGCGACATAGCGATCACCTTATCCTTGTTTAACATTAGCGAACAATAAGGATGCAACGTGTCACTCCTTGTCACTTTGTGTCTCTTGTTGGAAAGCTCTCTTAAACAAAAAACAGAATTGTATTAAAATATATTACATAAAATCTATAAAAAATGCAAATGGCAAAAATAATTGTTACATAATACCACATGTATAAGATAAAAATGCTCTAGAGCGTCATTCAAAAGTTTGACAACCATGAGTCAAACTCTGTATTCGACTATGCTTTTCGGTTGTGTCTAATCTTGCCGTGGCGAGTCGTTGCTGGAAAGCAGCATGTCGAACACCGTGTCGATTTGTGTGTCGTTTAAAACCTTGAGGGTGCCATTACATGAGCGCGGAAACGCGGAAACGCGCAACCAATCAGTAATCGGTAAAACGCGAAACCATAACAGCGGATCGCTTCTGATTGGTTACGCGTTTCCGCATTTCCGCGTTTCCGAGCTCATGTAATGGCACCCTGATGGAAAGCACCCGCTTCTATTATGTCCAATCATGGTGTGTCGTTGTTGGAAAGAATCATTTCCGACACTGTAACGATGTGTGTCACCTAAAAACCTTGATGGAAAGCTTCCACAGTCAATACAATTAAACCTTTAGTCAAATTTAGAAACCTTCTGGTCAAACATAGACACTTAGAACATATACTACTGGAAGAATAGGCTTCACTGAACGCGAAGCCAACATCTGTGCGAGAAAGAAAGGTATAGAGGTCCTAATGTTCGCAAAACGCGATGCGCATACGCAGCACCGTCGTCTGTGTAGTTTGTTTAGTAGTTGTGTAGTTTGTGTAGTTGGTTAGTGTTTCTTACACATTCGTACATTAAGCTGGAAATACAATAGACACAGGCAATAGGCACAGGGGCAACAGGGAATAACGAGCCGTTCAATCAGAGCTCTAGGGTATAACCCAGTGAGAAATGACAATGGAATCGATGTCGAATCGATGTCGATTCGACGTCGAAATCATCGAATCGACGTCAAATCGATGTCGATTCGACGTCGATTCCATTGTCATTTCTCACTGGGAAGTTCGATATTATATCCCAGGGACCCTATTCTTGAAAAGTATCGCATACGAAATTCTAGAAAAATACTACAGTATATGTAACGTATATCATGGTACTTCTCTAGACTTTCGTATACGTTTCTTTTCAAGAATAGGGGCCCTGAGCTCTGATTAAACGGCTCGTTATTCCCTATTGCCTGTGTCTATTGTCTGTGCCCATTGGGTTTTCAGCTTTACACAGATGTGTAAAGCCCAAAACACAATGCGAGGGAATAGCGATAGGAATAACATAGTTTCAACCTATTAGAAACTGTGTATTCCGGTGTATCCGATTTTTGATAGATTGAAACCGTGTTATTTCTATCGCTATCGCTATTCCCTCGCATTGGACGGAATCCATAAACGTTGCTCAAGATTCGAGATGGTCTTAAGCTAGTGCATGAACCAATCAGAGAACCGTATTAGCATATTAAGACAATGGCTGCGTTCAGCAGACTCAACAGTTTTGCAACCGTTTTATGATTGTCTGCTGAGATAGGACCATTCTTCTAGATCTAAAAGTATGATCCAATTAGCGCGAAGGAAACTTACAACAGTTGCAAAACAAACGTTCTGCTGAACGCACCCATTGTTTGAGATTAAGACCGGATTATGGATTCCGGCTTAAGACTTCTCTATTTTTCTCTCTCGCACAGATGTTGGCTTCACCTCGTTATATGGGCCAGCATAGGCAATTCCTCTTCCAGTAGTATATGTTCTATGCATAGACATTACATGAAACATCCGGAATAAACCAAATTTAATATAAAGTAATATTGTTAGTGTTGAAAAGAAAATAAATATTATATTTAAATATTTAAAAAACACAAAAATTAAAAAAGTCAAAAAATAAAAATCCAAGAAGGAAATAACCAGGTCGTAATCAGGTCCAATCTGTTCGACGAGTATATTCATCTTCATTACACTAAAACGTTCTAAGGGCCGGTTGTTCCACCCTCAGATAAACTATCTGGTAATTTATCTAATAGATAGAGTGTTGTTCCACTTTTCGGTAAAATTTATGTTCTTGGTAAAATGGTCATTACTGACAGGTAAATAACACGATACTTTGGGTATCGTGTAAGCCACTTACCTGACAGATAAGTACATAGTGAAGTTAAAAATCACAGCGAGCGGTATGCTATCCCAAGTTTTGTGCATATACATTGATTAATCTTGTGTGATTTTGGATATTACGTACGGTATCGAAAATGGAATTATGTGAAAATGTATTTCTTTATGGTGATGATAATGAAAACTCATCTGATGAAGAAATACATATAATAGTGCGCCGTAAACGATATACAGTTCGTCCACGTCCAGATTTATTTAATGAATATGATAACATAGAATTTGTTAGACGATTTCGACTTCACAAACGCACTGTTCAGATGATTTTAAATCTTATTGAAGAAACAATAAGAAGCAGGACTGACAGGTAAATATTAAATATATTTTTTATTTTTAGGTTATTTATAATATACATACATTTTTATTAAAGAAATCATGCTGTGTCACCACTACACCAATTATTACTTACATTACGATTCTATGCAACTGGAACCTTCCAAGACACAATTGCTGATTTTGGTGGTATTCACAAATCCACAATGTGCAGGATTATAAAAAAGGTTACAACAGCAATAGCATCTTTACGGCCACAATATATTAACTTTCCTAATACGAATCAGAGTCTAAGGCAAACAAAAGAAAAATTTTACAATATTGCTTGTTTCCCCAGAGTCGTAGGGGCAATTGATGGTACTCACATCAAAATACTGTCGCCAGGTATTAAATTGAAAATGATTGATAAATTTATAGTATTTACATCTTATTTATATTTACACACATAGGTGGAGAAGAAGCTGAAGTATATAGGAACAGAAAAGGGATATTTACTATAAATGTACAGGTTATTTGTGATGGTACTTTAAAATTTTTAGACATTGTAGCACGGTGGCCTGGTTCAACCCATGACGCTACAATCTTTAATGCTAGCAGAGTACGTGCAAGATTTATTAATGGTGAAATAGGAAATGCACTATTACTTGGTGACAGTGGTTATGCTTGCTCAAACTTTTTATTTACACCACTGCTTGAAACTCATAATCGAGCTGAAGAATTATATAATGAATCTCAAATACGAACACGAAATGTCATTGAAAGATGTATTGGAGTATGGAAACGAAGATTTGCTGCACTGGCATTTGGTTTAAGACTTCATCCTTTAACTGCACAAGCTGTAATAGTAGCTACTGCAGTACTGCACAATATTGCATGAAACATGGGAGAACCTGATCCAGTAATCGATTTTGAAGTCGAAGCTGCAATTGAGGAATTGGAAGTCCAAGAAGTACAATATAATAATGGCATTAATAATGCAAATGAACGACGTTCATTAATTGATATATATTTTGCAGGGTAATATTTTTTTCTGCATAAGTTGGAAAAATATTTCTTTTTAACTAAATTTTTCTTTGCAGTCTTGTTCGTTGAAATGTACAACTGGTTAATATATTCTGACATCAGAAATGAAAAATTATACAACACTATTTAGAATTGGAAACAATAAAACTTTATTTATAAAACCATATTTTTCTAGTAACATAAACTAGTAACATAAACCATTTATAACTCTTATAAAATGATATATACCTAGTTGATCGCTATCCCACACAGATGGTAAACCTTCTATAGATGATGGTAGCATCGAAATAATATTTTCTTCGATACCAGTTAAGGAACGAATTTGTGGTTCACCTCCACCAGTCTTGAAGGTTTCTAATCTATTATGTGCTAATTTCTTCTTAACGTTTTTCTTAATATCTTCATATTTTGCTTTTAATGCTTTTTTCAATCGAAAAACTTCACCAGAACTGGAATTAAATGCCTTCGCTACATTTTCCCATGCAGCATCTTTATCTCGCCAAGTTGTGGCATCTGTTTTTTTGCACTCTATTATATTTTTAAACTCTTGAATTATTGAAACCAATATCTCAACTTCTTTGTTAGAGAAATTGGAACCTCTCTCTCTCTTTTTTTTTTCGGTCATCTCTTTAACATAAATTATTAAAATATATTAGATACTATATTTTGTAATACATTTATTTATTTTAGATACATAATTGTGATACATATCTTACTTATATTCTACTTTTATAAAGATGTTGTATATGCGAATAAAAAAAAACAGCTTACCAGAAAATAAAGATTAAGATTGTCGAAGGTAAACACATATCAATACATTGGCCGCTGAACGCAGCCAAGTAAATTCAGTGATAGGTTAGTTTGCACCCACTTGAAGTTGCTGCCAAACGTTTCCGGAAATAAATATCGCGATATATCGCTCTTAACCAACAGGTAACTATCAGTAGGATAAATAGTCGTGGAACAACGCTCATGTATAAGTAGTTGGTAAACTGCCGGATAAGATTTATCCTATAGGTAATAATCTATCGAATAAGCCGAGATTTACCGAAAGATGGAACAACCGGCCCTAACAGGATCAATTTGTGACACATGTGTAGACTGGCCTTGTGTTTCTCTTTACTGCCGAAGCTGTTCTGTGAGATTGCAAAGTGATGATTTCCGTTGCCATTCTCAATTGGATGGATCGACATTCGACGCGCTGTTCAATTTGGCGCTCGTCTTTATTGCTTCTTCATCCTCGTTTGGTTATCGTACAAACAATATGGCCGCCAATTCGTGTAAATAGTCCATGGCTG